AGCAGTGGCAGGGGAGGAGTAGCGTGCAACTACAGCGTCGTACAGAGCCCTAGCACTCTTGTACTGACTAAAGTGCGCGCGCTCAGTAGACGGCAGGTGGTTGCGCACAGCAAGACGAGCAGCAGCATCGCGCGTGAGCCACTGCGAGCGAACAGTACTGTCAGCATCAGCAGTAGGGGCAGTAGAGGCGCCAGAAGTGAGATCGAACAGTGAGAGACCATCCTTGCTATCGCAGTGTAGGAAAAGCTGCAGATCATCTAGCCAGACCTCAAAGTCAACAGCCCGACCCTCAGCATCAAAGGTAAGAACATTGAGACTAGCCATGACAGGAGAAGCAGCAGGCTAGCAGTAGCAGCAGTGGAACTCGGCTAAGCAGGCTAGGTAGGGCGGCGCAGCTCGGCAGGGCGGTGTGGCTCGGCAGCGCGGCGCTCTTACCAGGGGAGAGGCTGGGGCAGGGCCGGGGTAGGGCCGGGGCAGTCCAGGAGCAGGGCCGGGGCAGGGCCGGGGCAGTTCAGGAGCAGGGCCGAGTCAGGGCCGGGGCAGTTCAGGAGCAGGGCCGGGGCAGGGCCAGGGCAGAGCCGGGCCAGGGCCGGGGCAGTTCAGGGGCAGGGCCGGGGCAGGGCCGGGGCAAGGCCGGGGCAGAGCCGGGGCAGTTCAGGAGCAGGGCCGGGGCAGTGCAGAAGCAGGGCCGGGGCAGGGCCGGGGCAGTTCAGGAGCAGGGCCGGGGCAGGGCCGGGGCAGTTCAGGAGCAGGGCCGGGGCAGGGCCGGGGCAGTTCAGGAGCAGGGCCGGGGCAGGGCCAGGGCAGTTCAGGAGCAGGGCCGGGGCAGGGCCAGGGCAGAGCCGGGCCAGGGCCGGGGCAGTTCAGGGGCAGGGCCGGGGCAGGGCCGGGGCAGGGCCGGGGCAGAGCCGGGGCAGTTCAGGAGCAGGGCCGGGGCAGTGCAGAAGCAGGGCCGGGGTAGTTCAGGGGCAGGGCCGGGGCAGAGCCGGGGCAGGGCCTGGGCAGAGCCGGGCCAGGGCCGGGGCAGTTCAGGGGCAGGTCAGGAGCAGGGCCGGGGCAGTGCAGAAACAGGGCCGGGGCAGTGCAGGAGCAGGGCCGGGGCAGCGTCGGGGAAGAGCTGCGACAGGGCCGCAGCAGGGCCGGCCGGGCCTGAAGGGGCCTCTAACGGGGCATGACTGGGCCGAACGGGGCCTATAACGGGGCCTGACGAGGCCTATAACGGGGCCGAACGGGGCCTATAATGGGGCCTGACGGGGCCTATAACGGGGCCGTACAGGGCCTATAACGGGGCCGTGCGGGGCCTATAACGGGGCCTGACGGGGCCTATAACGGGGCCGTACGGGGCCTATAACGGGGCCTGACGGGCCTTACGGGGCCTGAAACGGGGCCAGATGGGGAGTGACGGGGCCGAACGAGGCCGTACGGGGCCGATAACGGGGCCTTGCGGGGCCTATAACGGGGCCTGACGGGCCTTACGGGGCCTTAAACGGGGCCAAATGGGGCCTGATGGGGCCGTACTGGGCCTCTAACGGGGCCTGACGGGGCCGTACGGGGCCTCTAACGGGGCCTGTCGGGGCCTAACGGGGCCTTAAACGGGGCCGAACAGGGCCTGACGGGGCCTTACGGGGCCTTACGGGGCATAACGGGGCCTTACGGGGCCTTAATCCGCGCCCTAAACGGGGCCTAAAGGGGCCTTAACGAGGCCTTAAGGGGCCTTACGGGGCGGGCGCAGGTTCTAAGGGCGGGCGCAGGGGCCGTGACGGGCCTCGAAGGGAAGGTGCGAAGCGCGCGGCAAGTAGGCAGGGGAGAAATTTCAGTGGTGGGCCCTTAAAAAAAATCTCGAAACTAGCTCTATACCATGTGAGAATGATAGACGAAAGAATGATTGAATTAGGAAATGAGAAGGGTACAAGTAGAAAACACATAAGTGTTGTACCCTCTAAGGACTACCCCACTACAGCCTAGACCGACTATAGTAAATATATGTTTGACAGCTATCTTCAGGGGGGAGAAATTGCGCAGGTCTACAAAAGACTTCACCGGCAGCAACGAGAGCAAGACCTTGTTTGCACAAGAGGATGTAGAGGGGAGTGTGCCTACGGCAATGTAGGTGTAGATTAGTGGGACATTTTTCAGATGTATCGACTTTCTTAGTGTAAAACAACCTCAAAGCATTGTGTGCGGGATTTTGCAGTAACAATCAGTGTTGGGTGCCTGTTTGCACTGACTACCGTCATCGCCCGGATATAAGACATATATGTCTTATCTCATACACTAAAAAAAATGCTTGGGTTATCTTGTATTTGGGGAGGTTTTGGGTGTCTTATAAGTCTTATAAATGGAAACTTTTTTAAACTACTTCAAAATATTTTCACACATCTTGAGAAGAGTTTCTCAGTATGAGTGTAGATGTTGCGAAGGTGCCACTTCGGCAACCATTGTTCGGGGCGCCACGTCATGGAGAATACTTGCAGAGGCAAATTTAGTAGTACGTGAGTCAGCACGTGGCAGAATTCGCGTGTCGCAAGGGTAAAAATGTTCGCGGTACTTCAATTTTCACTATAATATATTGCAGTTTCGATTATAAGACACATATGTCTTATCTCGTACACACAAATAGGTGTCTTATAATGAGGCTAGCCTGTTTATAAGAGACACCCGTATAATAGACAACCCCTGTCTACTATTCAACACTGTCTTATATCCGGGTGATGACGGTAGATCAGAGTAATTTTTGTTTTACCCTGCACCCATCAGACTTCGAAAAAAATCACCCTAGGACTCAGAGTTGGCCACAGCTGGAGCTCTGATTTGTAAGGGTGAGCCTAAACCCATTTTGGGGACTGATTTAGGGCCTACACTGATGTGTTTGGGTAATTTTTTTGGGGATTAGTGTTACACTGATTTGACAGTGAAACGATTTAGGCCACACTGATGCTCTAGGGTAAAATTTCCCTTAGCGAAGATTACCCTTAAGAGCGTACAGGGTACCCCCTTTTTCGAAACTCTACTTATCGAGACAAAGTTTCCTAGAAATTTCGTAACGATACACTCAATTTCGTAATGATGCACTACGATGCCAGCACGTGAGTACCGTATGGCCCCGGATATAAGCGCAGGCCTATTATAAGCGCATGCGCTTGTATCTGGAGCAATGCGCTTATGGCCGATCCTCATTTATAAGCGCACCCCCTGTAAAACCTTGATTTATTATAAGCGCACGTATAATTCTAAAATTTAAACCAGATTAAAACGGTAGCGATTTCAAATTTTGCAGTGAGGATACAACTATTTTCGCTTCGATTGACTTTCGAGGACCTCACATACTGCACGTCCAGTCAGTATGAGCTGGCATTTCTGATAGTGACGTGTAAATTTTCCCCTGTGCGCCGGCAGAAAATCGCTCACGCGCGATTCTGAATTGCGACTCGCTACCACTTCGATTCGATTGAAATCACAAGAAAGAGATGTACAGTTTGGTGCCAATGAATTATAAATTTGCATTTGTTGTTATATAAGCGCATGCGCTTATAAATCTGACTCAATTATAAGCGCACCCCCCCAAAAAACACTGTTTTATTATAAGCGCAGGTGCGCTTATATCCGGGGTATTACGGTACTGACAACCGACACCGCGTCACTCCATGTCTGCATGCAACCTACTCTAGAGGCGATGCAACCTGATTGGTCGAATCTGCACTCACTGCAAAAACTTTAACTATCTTGACTCGGAAATTTGGGACTCGAGGTCCCCAAACCTACGTCCCCCCCCAGGAAGCTTGCTGACTCGGCGAAAAAACAAGTGTTGCAACGAAACCAGACAAACCACCGCGCTCAACTTTTGAGTTCACAACCCCCACCCACCAGCGCCCAATTTGGGCCTCGAGCTTGGTTGCTGCCAGCACATACTGAGCTGCCTACATTACAATCAGGGTAAAAAATATACCTACACTGATGCCTCTGGGTAATTTTTTCAAAAGTTCAAGTTACACTGATCCATCAGTGTTTCCAAAAAGGGCACACTGCTCAGAAAGGTTTTGAAAAAGGCTACACTGCTAATCGTGAGTAGCCAAAAACCAAACATAGGCCCTGCCTCAATGCTTCCATAATGGACTGTTATAGCTGCTCAAATATTTGACTGGTTATTTAACATGCCCAACCAGAATCGATTAGCATGCCCAAGAGACTTAGGCATTTTGTATACAAGAAGCTTAGATAACGAATGGTGCAGCCACCTGGGCAGAGCCATGTACTTGGCCCCATACACCAATCAGGGTCAGATCTACCCCACCATCAGGGCTAACTTTAGTAAAATGACCCGTCTGATGTCAAGACCGGGTCCTGGCTCCTTGTCTGATTGTCAGACGAAAACTGTAACCTTGTCTAGCTTTCCAGACGAATCCTAAACCAAGTAATATCGATGACCAGCTCTAATGGTCTAGTCAGTAGAATATGGAGCAGTGAAAACTGAGATTTCTAGTTCGAATCTTATAGCCTGCTTGTTTCGAGAGTTTTGCCTTCAGTCGAAAATTACTCGATATCTGCAATCTCAGACGAACTGTATAAGGCTGTCTGAGAAATCAGATGAATAGAAAAAGCTTCTCTAAAAAAATCAGACGAAATTAAACAGCATGTCTACGGCATCAGATGAACCAGTAAAAATGTGTTCAGAATCCAGAAATTTAGACCAAAAATTTCTGATAAAGTGAGCCCTGCCCACCATGCGTGCCCACAACTTGTGTTATCATCATCATTAACATTTTTCAGGCATCACATCTCACAACACAAAGAAAAAGGGTGACCTATCCTGTCTACGTATAAGGATTTAATTGATAGGAAAGGGTGTCCAATGCAGGACGATTGTTGAATCAGAGGCGAGAAGAACTCATTGAGGCCCGGAAGATCCTGCCAGCAAAATGGTGAAGGTGAGTGTGGAATGGCGTATGGCATTAAGTCAGTGAGACAACCATGTGTAAAGCATATCTGATGTACAGCAGCAGTCAGCAGGAAAGGTGGCATGGTGTGGCCCACGGTGGCATGGTGTGGCCCACGGTGGCATGGTGTGGCCCACGGTGGCATGGTGTGGCCCACGGTGGCATGGTGTGGCCCACGGTGGCATGGTGTGGCCCACGGTGGCATGGTGTGGCCCACGGTGGCATGGTGTGGCCCACGGTGGCATGGTGTGGCCCACGGTGGCATGGTGTGGCCCACGGTGGCATGGTGTGGCCCACGGTGGCATGGTGTGGCCCACGGTGGCATGGTGTGGCCCACGGTGGCATGGTGTGGCCCACGGTGGCATGGTGTGGCCCACGGTGGCATGGTGTGGCCCACGGTGGCATGGTGTGGCCCACGGTGGCATGGTGTGGCCCACGGTGGCATGGTGTGGCCCACGGTGGCATGGTGTGGCCCACGGTGGCATGGTGTGGCCCACGGTGGCATGGTGTGGCCCACGGTGGCATGGTGTGGCCCACGGTGGCATGGTGTGGCCCACGGTGGCATGGTGTGGCCCACGGTGGCATGGTGTGGCCCACGGTGGCATGGTGTGGCCCACGGTGGCATGGTGTGGCCCACGGTGGCATGGTGTGGCCCACGGTGGCATGGTGTGGCCCACGGTGGCATGGTGTGGCCCACGGTGGCATGGTGTGGCCCACGGTGGCATGGTGTGGCCCACGGTGGCATGGTGTGGCCCACGGTGGCATGGTGTGGCCCACGGTGGCATGGTGTGGCCCACGGTGGCATGGTGTGGCCCACGGTGGCATGGTGTGGCCCACGGTGGCATGGTGTGGCCCACGGTGGCATGGTGTGGCCCACGGTGGCATGGTGTGGCCCACGGTGGCATGGTGTGGCCCACGGTGGCATGGTGTGGCCCACGGTGGCATGGTGTGGCCCACGGTGGCATGGTGTGGCCCACGGTGGCATGGTGTGGCCCACGGTGGCATGGTGTGGCCCACGGTGGCATGGTGTGGCCCACGGTGGCATGGTGTGGCCCACGGTGGCATGGTGTGGCCCACGGTGGCATGGTGTGGCCCACGGTGGCATGGTGTGGCCCACGGTGGCATGGTGTGGCCCACGGTGGCATGGTGTGGCCCACGGTGGCATGGTGTGGCCCACGGTGGCATGGTGTGGCCCACGGTGGCATGGTGTGGCCCACGGTGGCATGGTGTGGCCCACGGTGGCATGGTGTGGCCCACGGTGGCATGGTGTGGCCCACGGTGGCATGGTGTGGCCCACGGTGGCATGGTGTGGCCCACGGTGGCATGGTGTGGCCCACGGTGGCATGGTGTGGCCCACGGTGGCATGGTGTGGCCCACGGTGGCATGGTGTGGCCCACGGTGGCATGGTGTGGCCCACGGTGGCATGGTGTGGCCCACGGTGGCATGGTGTGGCCCACGGTGGCATGGTGTGGCCCACGGTGGCATGGTGTGGCCCACGGTGGCATGGTGTGGCCCACGGTGGCATGGTGTGGCCCACGGTGGCATGGTGTGGCCCACGGTGGCATGGTGTGGCCCACGGTGGCATGGTGTGGCCCACGGTGGCATGGTGTGGCCCACGGTGGCATGGTGTGGCCCACGGTGGCATGGTGTGGCCCACGGTGGCATGGTGTGGCCCACGGTGGCATGGTGTGGCCCACGGTGGCATGGTGTGGCCCACGGTGGCATGGTGTGGCCCACGGTGGCATGGTGTGGCCCACGGTGGCATGGTGTGGCCCACGGTGGCATGGTGTGGCCCACGGTGGCATGGTGTGGCCCACGGTGGCATGGTGTGGCCCACGGTGGCATGGTGTGGCCCACGGTGGCATGGTGTGGCCCACGGTGGCATGGTGTGGCCCGGTGGATGGTGTGGCCCACGGTGGCATGGTGTGGCCCACGGTGGCATGGTGTGGCCCACGGTGGCATGGTGTGGCCCACGGTGGCATGGTGTGGCCCACGGTGGCATGGTGTGGCCCACGGTGGCATGGTGTGGCCCACGGTGGCATGGTGTGGCCCACGGTGGCATGGTGTGGCCCACGGTGGCATGGTGTGGCCCACGGTGGCATGGTGTGGCCCACGGTGGCATGGTGTGGCCCACGGTGGCATGGTGTGGCCCACGGTGGCATGGTGTGGCCCACGGTGGCATGGTGTGGCCCACGGTGGCATGGTGTGGCCCACGGTGGCATGGTGTGGCCCACGGTGGCATGGTGTGGCCCACGGTGGCATGGTGTGGCCCACGGTGGCATGGTGTGGCCCACGGTGGCATGGTGTGGCCCACGGTGGCATGGTGTGGCCCACGGTGGCATGGTGTGGCCCACGGTGGCATGGTGTGGCCCACGGTGGCATGGTGTGGCCCACGGTGGCATGGTGTGGCCCACGGTGGCATGGTGTGGCCCACGGTGGCATGGTGTGGCCCACGGTGGCATGGTGTGGCCCACGGTGGCATGGTGTGGCCCACGGTGGCATGGTGTGGCCCACGGTGGCATGGTGTGGCCCACGGTGGCATGGTGTGGCCCACGGTGGCATGGTGTGGCCCACGGTGGCATGGTGTGGCCCACGGTGGCATGGTGTGGCCCACGGTGGCATGGTGTGGCCCACGGTGGCATGGTGTGGCCCACGGTGGCATGGTGTGGCCCACGGTGGCATGGTGTGGCCCACGGTGGCATGGTGTGGCCCACGGTGGCATGGTGTGGCCCACGGTGGCATGGTGTGGCCCACGGTGGCATGGTGTGGCCCACGGTGGCATGGTGTGGCCCACGGTGGCATGGTGTGGCCCACGGTGGCATGGTGTGGCCCACGGTGGCATGGTGTGGCCCACGGTGGCATGGTGTGGCCCACGGTGGCATGGTGTGGCCCACGGTGGCATGGTGTGGCCCACGGTGGCATGGTGTGGCCCACGGTGGCATGGTGTGGCCCACGGTGGCATGGTGTGGCCCACGGTGGCATGGTGTGGCCCACGGTGGCATGGTGTGGCCCACGGTGGCATGGTGTGGCCCACGGTGGCATGGTGTGGCCCACGGTGGCATGGTGTGGCCCACGGTGGCATGGTGTGGCCCACGGTGGCATGGTGTGGCCCACGGTGGCATGGTGTGGCCCACGGTGGCATGGTGTGGCCCACGGTGGCATGGTGTGGCCCACGGTGGCATGGTGTGGCCCACGGTGGCATGGTGTGGCCCACGGTGGCATGGTGTGGCCCACGGTGGCATGGTGTGGCCCACGGTGGCATGGTGTGGCCCACGGTGGCATGGTGTGGCCCACGGTGGCATGGTGTGGCCCACGGTGGCATGGTGTGGCCCACGGTGGCATGGTGTGGCCCACGGTGGCATGGTGTGGCCCACGGTGGCATGGTGTGGCCCACGGTGGCATGGTGTGGCCCACGGTGGCATGGTGTGGCCCACGGTGGCATGGTGTGGCCCACGGTGGCATGGTGTGGCCCACGGTGGCATGGTGTGGCCCACGGTGGCATGGTGTGGCCCACGGTGGCATGGTGTGGCCCACGGTGGCATGGTGTGGCCCACGGTGGCATGGTGTGGCCCACGGTGGCATGGTGTGGCCCACGGTGGCATGGTGTGGCCCACGGTGGCATGGTGTGGCCCACGGTGGCATGGTGTGGCCCACGGTGGCATGGTGTGGCCCACGGTGGCATGGTGTGGCCCACGGTGGCATGGTGTGGCCCACGGTGGCATGGTGTGGCCCACGGTGGCATGGTGTGGCCCACGGTGGCATGGTGTGGCCCACGGTGGCATGGTGTGGCCCACGGTGGCATGGTGTGGCCCACGGTGGCATGGTGTGGCCCACGGTGGCATGGTGTGGCCCACGGTGGCATGGTGTGGCCCACGGTGGCATGGTGTGGCCCACGGTGGCATGGTGTGGCCCACGGTGGCATGGTGTGGCCCACGGTGGCATGGTGTGGCCCACGGTGGCATGGTGTGGCCCACGGTGGCATGGTGTGGCCCACGGTGGCATGGTGTGGCCCACGGTGGCATGGTGTGGCCCACGGTGGCATGGTGTGGCCCACGGTGGCATGGTGTGGCCCACGGTGGCATGGTGTGGCCCACGGTGGCATGGTGTGGCCCACGGTGGCATGGTGTGGCCCACGGTGGCATGGTGTGGCCCACGGTGGCATGGTGTGGCCCACGGTGGCATGGTGTGGCCCACGGTGGCATGGTGTGGCCCACGGTGGCATGGTGTGGCCCACGGTGGCATGGTGTGGCCCACGGTGGCATGGTGTGGCCCACGGTGGCATGGTGTGGCCCACGGTGGCATGGTGTGGCCCACGGTGGCATGGTGTGGCCCACGGTGGCATGGTGTGGCCCACGGTGGCATGGTGTGGCCCACGGTGGCATGGTGTGGCCCACGGTGGCATGGTGTGGCCCACGGTGGCATGGTGTGGCCCACGGTGGCATGGTGTGGCCCACGGTGGCATGGTGTGGCCCACGGTGGCATGGTGTGGCCCACGGTGGCATGGTGTGGCCCACGGTGGCATGGTGTGGCCCACGGTGGCATGGTGTGGCCCACGGTGGCATGGTGTGGCCCACGGTGGCATGGTGTGGCCCACGGTGGCATGGTGTGGCCCACGGTGGCATGGTGTGGCCCACGGTGGCATGGTGTGGCCCACGGTGGCATGGTGTGGCCCACGGTGGCATGGTGTGGCCCACGGTGGCATGGTGTGGCCCACGGTGGCATGGTGTGGCCCACGGTGGCATGGTGTGGCCCACGGTGGCATGGTGTGGCCCACGGTGGCATGGTGTGGCCCACGGTGGCATGGTGTGGCCCACGGTGGCATGGTGTGGCCCACGGTGGCATGGTGTGGCCCACGGTGGCATGGTGTGGCCCACGGTGGCATGGTGTGGCCCACGGTGGCATGGTGTGGCCCACGGTGGCATGGTGTGGCCCACGGTGGCATGGTGTGGCCCACGGTGGCATGGTGTGGCCCACGGTGGCATGGTGTGGCCCACGGTGGCATGGTGTGGCCCACGGTGGCATGGTGTGGCCCACGGTGGCATGGTGTGGCCCACGGTGGCATGGTGTGGCCCACGGTGGCATGGTGTGGCCCACGGTGGCATGGTGTGGCCCACGGTGGCATGGTGTGGCCCACGGTGGCATGGTGTGGCCCACGGTGGCATGGTGTGGCCCACGGTGGCATGGTGTGGCCCACGGTGGCATGGTGTGGCCCACGGTGGCATGGTGTGGCCCACGGTGGCATGGTGTGGCCCACGGTGGCATGGTGTGGCCCACGGTGGCATGGTGTGGCCCACGGTGGCATGGTGTGGCCCACGGTGGCATGGTGTGGCCCACGGTGGCATGGTGTGGCCCACGGTGGCATGGTGTGGCCCACGGTGGCATGGTGTGGCCCACGGTGGCATGGTGTGGCCCACGGTGGCATGGTGTGGCCCACGGTGGCATGGTGTGGCCCACGGTGGCATGGTGTGGCCCACGGTGGCATGGTGTGGCCCACGGTGGCATGGTGTGGCCCACGGTGGCATGGTGTGGCCCACGGTGGCATGGTGTGGCCCACGGTGGCATGGTGTGGCCCACGGTGGCATGGTGTGGCCCACGGTGGCATGGTGTGGCCCACGGTGGCATGGTGTGGCCCACGGTGGCATGGTGTGGCCCACGGTGGCATGGTGTGGCCCACGGTGGCATGGTGTGGCCCACGGTGGCATGGTGTGGCCCACGGTGGCATGGTGTGGCCCACGGTGGCATGGTGTGGCCCACGGTGGCATGGTGTGGCCCACGGTGGCATGGTGTGGCCCACGGTGGCATGGTGTGGCCCACGGTGGCATGGTGTGGCCCACGGTGGCATGGTGTGGCCCACGGTGGCATGGTGTGGCCCACGGTGGCATGGTGTGGCCCACGGTGGCATGGTGTGGCCCACGGTGGCATGGTGTGGCCCACGGTGGCATGGTGTGGCCCACGGTGGCATGGTGTGGCCCACGGTGGCATGGTGTGGCCCACGGTGGCATGGTGTGGCCCACGGTGGCATGGTGTGGCCCACGGTGGCATGGTGTGGCCCACGGTGGCATGGTGTGGCCCACGGTGGCATGGTGTGGCCCACGGTGGCATGGTGTGGCCCACGGTGGCATGGTGTGGCCCACGGTGGCATGGTGTGGCCCACGGTGGCATGGTGTGGCCCACGGTGGCATGGTGTGGCCCACGGTGGCATGGTGTGGCCCACGGTGGCATGGTGTGGCCCACGGTGGCATGGTGTGGCCCACGGTGGCATGGTGTGGCCCACGGTGGCATGGTGTGGCCCACGGTGGCATGGTGTGGCCCACGGTGGCATGGTGTGGTGGCCCAGTGTTCCCTCCAGCACCATTCGAGGGACATGCCAAATCTGCGACTGAGATTGGCATGTGAAATTGGCGATTAATGAAAAGATGACCGAGCAACGTCGAGTAGGCATGGAAGCAGACATGGAAGTAGGCAGGGTGAATGACAAAGTGCAGTTGATTGAACAAAGTGCAGTTGATTGAACAAAGTGCAGTTGATTGAACAAAGTGCAGTTGATTGAACAAAGTGCAGTTGATTGAACAAAGTATAGTTGATTGAACAAAGTGCAGTTGATTGAACAAAGTGCAGTTGATTGAACAAAGTGCAGTTGATTGAACAAAGTGCAGTTAATTGAACAAAGTACAGTTGATTGAACAAAGTGCAGTTGATTGAACAAAGTGCAGTTGATTGAACAAAGTGCAGTTGATTGAACAAAGTGCAGTTGATTGAACAAAGTGCAGTTGATTGAACAAAGGACAAGATGAGAAGACCGAGCAATCAACACAGGAGGGAGACATGAAAATGAAAGTGCAAACTTGACTGAGAAAGTGGAGTCACGTTCCTCATGCTACTCCAACCCCCACCTTTGTACAGTCTGTCACGTTCCTCATGCTCCACCCACCATGCCCTCGCTGCCACTCACCATGCGCCATCCCCCCATACTCACCCCGCAACTGCTCGCCCCTCCTCCCCTCCCACTTGGCTTACCAGCGTGATGCCATCAGGTTGCATCATGTTGCCATTTTTCCGCCGCCACAGTCGCATTTAACCGGGTCAGCCACACTCAACGCCACTCCCATGCCATCCGCATGTCTCTTCACCTCCTCCGCCGCTGCCACTACTGCCGCTCCACTGCTGCCCTCTCACCAATGGTGAGTGCAGCAGCAGTGGTGGGGAACAGCCCCCTCCCCACCACATGGCCCCACTGTGCGACGCGGGGAACTGTCCTCCGCCCTGAAGCGCTGTCAGTGGAGGCAGGGGGCAGGGAAGAGAGGTAGGTGGGTAGCAGATGGAAGGTGTGGTGATCAGAAAATGGCAGCAGGAGATGGCATGAGTGAGTTGGCTGGCCCGTGTTTTCTGCTTCGCCAGGAGTGCACTCTCGCCCATCTCACCTTGCGCCCATCCATCCTTCCCTTCCCCCTCCCCTTTCCCCTTTGCCTCCCCCCTTTTCCTTCCCCTTTTACCCCCCCCCTTTGCCTTCCCCTTTGCCTGGGAAGCATAGCCTTGTGCCTATCGAGGGTGCTTGTAACGGGAGGGCCTCAGCACCGTCCCACCATCGCAGATCCGCGCTTCAACCCCGACCCCCCGCGCCAGCGAACGTCCCCCCCGCCCCTTCGCATTCCCCGCAACCACCTTCCGTCTGCAGCACCCGCCGCCTCCCCGCGCTCGGAAAAAGCCCGTGCTGATGGCTAGGTCACACGGAGGCGACGCGGGGGAGCGGCGCGCGGAAAGAAGCCGCGCCCCACGGGGAGGGCGCGAGGGGGGGGGGGAGTGCGGAAGAGCGAAGAGCGGTGGGAGGTGCCAGTGCGCGACAGATGGACGGCGACTTGCGAGACAAGGGCTCACAGTGCCGAAACGCCTCGCGAAAGCGACGTGGCCTCCATCACGCTAACACCTTCGCCGGCTAGCGGAACGCCCCTCTCCCCCCCTTCCCCCACAGGCGCGCGCTAAGCCTTATTCTCCGCGGAGGTACGCCGCTGCTGCCACACTGCTGCGCTCTCTGCGTTGACCTCATCTCCGTTTGCCGCTCCGCTGCCTCCGCGCCGAGCCCCAAAGAGCCGTCGAAGCGCTGAGCCGCTCACTGAAAAAAGTGCATGGGGTGCGCTCACTGAACCGCCGGAGAGCTGGTGGACAAGCGACGTGCGACTTGCTTGATGCTGGCCTGGTTGATCGAGTGGGGCTGCTAATGGTGCTGCGGTCTGCACGCAGACAGTGCGGAGGTGGGTGCTGGAGCTTGGGTGCGGTGCCATGCGGTTGAATAAATACCGGTCATACGCCTTATAAAAGAGATGCACATTCCTTGCTCAAATCTCATTGCTCATTCTCGAAATCAGACCAATCTATATTACCAGAAAAGTGCTACTGCGAATTCCGTTGGTATTAAGAAACCACCTCTCTGGGACATGCTTGCAGCTGAAGGGCTGTTTGCCCTTGCAGTCTTCCCGTCATGGACAGGCATGTCGAACGTGCAAGCATGCCTGTTCTATGCTCCCACGTGGTGCTGGGTGGGTGGGTGAGGCCGTGATGCATGGAGAGCATGAAAAGCAAACAAGAGACACGCTGTAGCAATTAGAGGAAATTTGACAAAGGAAAGTTGAGAATATGAGAATGAGGCAATAGTGCTAACTTCGGGGAGAGTGACAATGAATAGGTGACCTAGGCAGTGGAAAAGCAACTACGGAAAATTTGGGATGAGGTTTAGGGGGATGAGAATGGTCTAATGACCATGGAAAGATGGCTGTGGGAGTAATGAAGTGACAGTGAAAGCCCGACAGTGGGAACATCACGCTGCGATGAAGATAGTGAAACGATGACACTCGAATCATGACGATGCGAAGATGATAATGGGATGATGTCAATGTGATTACGGCAAAACAGCATGTCAATGGGAAGATTACAACTATTTAAGGGCCTGTGGAGAAAACGAGGGCACATCGACAGAGGGAGGTGTCATGATGGAGTGAGAGCATGGGTGGGTGAGGAACGGTGAGCAGAGCATGGGTGGGTGAGGAACGGTGAGCAGAGCATGGGTGGGTGAGGAACGGTGAGCAGAGCATGGGTGGGTGAGGAACGGTGAGCAGAGCATGGGTGGGTGAGGAACGGTGAGCAGAGCATGGGTGGGTGAGGAACGGTGAGCAGAGCATGGGTGGGTGAGGAACGGTGAGCAGAGCATGGGTGGGTGAGGAACGGTGAGCAGAGCATGGGTGGGTGAGGAACGGTGAGCAGAGCATGGGTGGGTGAGGAACGGTGAGCAGAGCATGGGTGGGTGAGGAACGGTGAGCAGAGCATGGGTGGGTGAGGAACGGTGAGCAGAGCATGGGTGGGTGAGGAACGGTGAGCAGAGCATGGGTGGGTGAGGAACGGTGAGCAGAGCATGGGTGGGTGAGGAACGGTGAGCAGAGCATGGGTGGGTGAGGAACGGTGAGCAGAGCATGGGTGGGTGAGGAACGGTGAGCAGAGCATGGGTGGGTGAGGAACGGTGAGCAGAGCATGGGTGGGTGAGGAACGGTGAGCAGAGCATGGGTGGGTGAGGAACGGTGAGCAGAGCATGGGTGGGTGAGGAACGGTGAGCAGAGCATGGGTGGGTGAGGAACGGTGAGCAGAGCATGGGTGGGTGAGGAACGGTGAGCAGAGCATGGGTGGGTGAGGAACGGTGAGCAGAGCATGGGTGGGTGAGGAACGGTGAGCAGAGCATGGGTGGGTGAGGAACGGTGAGCAGAGCATGGGTGGGTGAGGAACGGTGAGCAGAGCATGGGTGGGTGAGGAACGGTGAGCAGAGCATGGGTGGGTGAGGAACGGTGAGCAGAGCATGGGTGGGTGAGGAACGGTGAGCAGAGCATGGGTGGGTGAGGAACGGTGAGCAGAGCATGGGTGGGTGAGGAACGGTGAGCAGAGCATGGGTGGGTGAGGAACGGTGAGCAGAGCATGGGTGGGTGAGGAACGGTGAGCAGAGCATGGGTGGGTGAGGAACGGTGAGCAGAGCATGGGTGGGTGAGGAACGGTGAGCAGAGCATGGGTGGGTGAGGAACGGTGAGCAGAGCATGGGTGGGTGAGGAACGGTGAGCAGAGCATGGGTGGGTGAGGAACGGTGAGCAGAGCATGGGTGGGTGAGGAACGGTGAGCAGAGCATGGGTGGGTGAGGAACGGTGAGCAGAGCATGGGTGGGTGAGGAACGGTGAGCAGAGCATGGGTGGGTGAGGAACGGTGAGCAGAGCATGGGTGGGTGAGGAACGGTGAGCAGAGCATGGGTGGGTGAGGAACGGTGAGCAGAGCATGGGTGGGTGAGGAACGGTGAGCAGAGCATGGGTGGGTGAGGAACGGTGAGCAGAGCATGGGTGGGTGAGGAACGGTGAGCAGAGCATGGGTGGGTGAGGAACGGTGAGCAGAGCATGGGTGGGTGAGGAACGGTGAGCAGAGCATGGGTGGGTGAGGAACGGTGAGCAGAGCATGGGTGGGTGAGGAACGGTGAGCAGAGCATGGGTGGGTGAGGAACGGTGAGCAGAGCATGGGTGGGTGAGGAACGGTGAGCAGAGCATGGGTGGGTGAGGAACGGTGAGCAGAGCATGGGTGGGTGAGGAACGGTGAGCAGAGCATGGGTGGGTGAGGAACGGTGAGCAGAGCATGGGTGGGTGAGGAACGGTGAGCAGAGCATGGGTGGGTGAGGAACGGTGAGCAGAGCATGGGTGGGTGAGGAACGGTGAGCAGAGCATGGGTGGGTGAGGAACGGTGAGCAGAGCATGGGTGGGTGAGGAACGGTGAGCAGAGCATGGGTGGGTGAGGAACGGTGAGCAGAGCATGGGTGGGTGAGGAACGGTGAGCAGAGCATGGGTGGGTGAGGAACGGTGAGCAGAGCATGGGTGGGTGAGGAACGGTGAGCAGAGCATGGGTGGGTGAGGAACGGTGAGCAGAGCATGGGTGGGTGAGGAACGGTGAGCAGAGCATGGGTGGGTGAGGAACGGTGAGCAGAGCATGGGTGGGTGAGGAACGGTGAGCAGAGCATGGGTGGGTGAGGAACGGTGAGCAGAGCATGGGTGGGTGAGGAACGGTGAGCAGAGCATGGGTGGGTGAGGAACGGTGAGCAGAGCATGGGTGGGTGAGGAACGGTGAGCAGAGCATGGGTGGGTGAGGAACGGTGAGCAGAGCATGGGTGGGTGAGGAACGGTGAGCAGAGCATGGGTGGGTGAGGAACGGTGAGCAGAGCATGGGTGGGTGAGGAACGGTGAGCAGAGCATGGGTGGGTGAGGAACGGTGAGCAGAGCATGGGTGGGTGAGGAACGGTGAGCAGAGCATGGGTGGGTGAGGAACGGTGAGCAGAGCATGGGTGGGTGAGGAACGGTGAGCAGAGCATGGGTGGGTGAGGAACGGTGAGCAGAGAGCATGGGTGGGTGAGGAACGGTGAGCAGAGCATGGGTGGGTGAGGAACGGTGAGCAGAGCATGGGTGGGTGAGGAACGGTGAGCAGAGCATGGGTGGGTGAGGAACGGTGAGCAGAGCATGGGTGGGTGAGGAACGGTGAGCAGAGCATGGGTGGGTGAGGAACGGTGAGCAGAGCATGGGTGGGTGAGGAACGGTGAGCAGAGCATGGGTGGGTGAGGAACGGTGAGCAGAGCATGGGTGGGTGAGGAACGGTGAGCAGAGCATGGGTGGGTGAGGAACGGTGAGCAGAGCATGGGTGGGTGAGGAACGGTGAGCAGAGCATGGGTGGGTGAGGAACGGTGAGCAGAGCATGGGTGGGTGAGGAACGGTGAGCAGAGCATGGGTGGGTGAGGAACGGTGAGCAGAGCATGGGTGGGTGAGGAACGGTGAGCAGAGCATGGGTGGGTGAGGAACGGTGAGCAGAGCATGGGTGGGTGAGGAACGGTGAGCAGAGCATGGGTGGGTGAGGAACGGTGAGCAGAGCATGGGTGGGTGAGGAACGGTGAGCAGAGCATGGGTGGGTGAGGAACGGTGAGCAGAGCATGGGTGGGTGAGGAACGGTGAGCAGAGCATGGGTGGGTGAGGAACGGTGAGCAGAGCATGGGTGGGTGAGGAACGGTGAGCAGAGCATGGGTGGGTGAGGAACGGTGAGCAGAGCATGGGTGGGTGAGGAACGGTGAGCAGAGCATGGGTGGGTGAGGAACGGTGAGCAGAGCATGGGTGGGTGAGGAACGGTGAGCAGAGCATGGGTGGGTGAGGAACGGTGAGCAGAGAGCATGGGTGGGTGAGGAACGGTGAGCAGAGCATGGGTGGGTGAGGAACGGTGAGCAGAGAGCATGGGTGGGTGAGGAACGGTGAGCAGAGCATGGGTGGGTGAGGAACGGTGAGCAGAGCATGGGTGGGTGAGGAACGGTGAGCAGAGCATGGGTGGGTGAGGAACGGTGAGCAGAGCATGGGTGGGTGAGGAACGGTGAGCAGAGCATGGGTGGGTGAGGAACGGTGAGCAGAGCATGGGTGGGTGAGGAACGGTGAGCAGAGAGCATGGGTGGGTGAGGAACGGTGAGCAGAGCATGGGTGGGTGAGGAACGGTGAGCAGAGAGCATGGGTGGGTGAGGAACGGTGAGCAGAGCATGGGTGGGTGAGGAACGGTGAGCAGAGCATGGGTGGGTGAGGAACGGTGAGCAGAGCATGGGTGGGTGAGGAACGGTGAGCAGAGCATGGGTGGGTGAGGAACGGTGAGCAGAGCATGGGTGGGTGAGGAACGGTGAGCAGAGCATGGGTGGGTGAGGAACGGTGAGCAGAGCATGGGTGGGTGAGGAACGGTGAGCAGAGCATGGGTGGGTGAGGAACGGTGAGCAGAGCATGGGTGGGTGAGGAACGGTGAGCAGAGCATGGGTGGGTGAGGAACGGTGAGCAGAGCATGGGTGGGTGAGGAACGGTGAGCAGAGCATGGGTGGGTGAGGAACGGTGAGCAGAGCATGGGTGGGTGAGGAACGGTGAGCAGAGCATGGGTGGGTGAGGAACGGTGAGCAGAGCATGGGTGGGTGAGGAACGGTGAGCAGAGCATGGGTGGGTGAGGAACGGTGAGCAGAGCATGGGTGGGTGAGGAACGGTGAGCAGAGCATGGGTGGGTGAGGAACGGTGAGCAGAGCATGGGTGGGTGAGGAACGGTGAGCAGAGCATGGGTGGGTGAGGAACGGTGAGCAGAGCATGGGTGGGTGAGGAACGGTGAGCAGAGCATGGGTGGGTGAGGAACGGTGAGCAGAGCATGGGTGGGTGAGGAACGGTGAGCAGAGCATGGGTGGGTGAGGAACGGTGAGCAGAGCATGGGTGGGTGAGGAACGGTGAGCAGAGCATGGGTGGGTGAGGAACGGTGAGCAGAGCATGGGTGGGTGAGGAACGGTGAGCAGAGCATGGGTGGGTGAGGAACGGTGAGCAGAGCATGGGTGGGTGAGGAACGGTGAGCAGAGCATGGGTGGGTGAGGAACGGTGAGCAGAGCATGGGTGGGTGAGGAACGGTGAGCAGAGCATGGGTGGGTGAGGAACGGTGAGCAGAGCATGGGTGGGTGAGGAACGGTGAGCAGAGCATGGGTGGGTGAGGAACGGTGAGCAGAGCATGGGTGGGTGAGGAACGGTGAGCAGAGCATGGGTGGGTGAGGAACGGTGAGCAGAGCATGGGTGGGTGAGGAACGGTGAGCAGAGCATGGGTGGGTGAGGAACGGTGAGCAGAGCATGGGTGGGTGAGGAACGGTGAGCAGAGCATGGGTGGGTGAGGAACGGTGAGCAGAGCATGGGTGGGTGAGGAACGGTGAGCAGAGCATGGGTGGGTGAGGAACGGTGAGCAGAGCATGGGTGGGTGAGGAACGGTGAGCAGAGCATGGGTGGGTGAGGAACGGTGAGCAGAGCATGGGTGGGTGAGGAACGGTGAGCAGAGCATGGGTGGGTGAGGAACGGTGAGCAGAGCATGGGTGGGTGAGGAACGGTGAGCAGAGCATGGGTGGGTGAGGAACGGTGAGCAGAGCATGGGTGGGTGAGGAACGGTGAGCAGAGCATGGGTGGGTGAGGAACGGTGAGCAGAGCATGGGTGGGTGAGGAACGGTGAGCAGAGCATGGGTGGGTGAGGAACGGTGAGCAGAGCATGGGTGGGTGAGGAACGGTGAGCAGAGCATGGGTGGGTGAGGAACGGTGAGCAGAGCATGGGTGGGTGAGGAACGGTGAGCAGAGCATGGGTGGGTGAGGAACGGTGAGCAGAGCATGGGTGGGTGAGGAACGGTGAGCAGAGAGCATGGGTGGGTGAGGAACGGTGAGCAGAGCATGGGTGGGTGAGGAACGGTGAGCAGAGAGCATGGGTGGGTGAGGAACGGTGAGCAGAGCATGGGTGGGTGAGGAACGGTGAGCAGAGCATGGGTGGGTGAGGAACGGTGAGCAGAGCATGGGTGGGTGAGGAACGGTGAGCAGAGCATGGGTGGGTGAGGAACGGTGAGCAGAGCATGGGTGGGTGAGGAACGGTGAGCAGAGCATGGGTGGGTGAGGAACGGTGAGCAGAGCATGGGTGGGTGAGGAACGGTGAGCAGAGCATGGGTGGGTGAGGAACGGTGAGCAGAGCATGGGTGGGTGAGGAACGGTGAGCAGAGCATGGGTGGGTGAGGAACGGTGAGCAGAGCATGGGTGGGTGAGGAACGGTGAGCAGAGCATGGGTGGGTGAGGAACGGTGAGCAGAGCATGGGTGGGTGAGGAACGGTGAGCAGAGCATGGGTGGGTGAGGAACGGTGAGCAGAGCATGGGTGGGTGAGGAACGGTGAGCAGAGCATGGGTGGGTGAGGAACGGTGAGCAGAGCATGGGTGGGTGAGGAACGGTGAGCAGAGCATGGGTGGGTGAGGAACGGTGAGCAGAGCATGGGTGGGTGAGGAACGGTGAGCAGAGCATGGGTGGGTGAGGAACGGTGAGCAGAGCATGGGTGGGTGAGGAACGGTGAGCAGAGCATGGGTGGGTGAGGAACGGTGAGCAGAGCATGGGTGGGTGAGGAACGGTGAGCAGAGCATGGGTGGGTGAGGAACGGTGAGCAGAGCATGGGTGGGTGAGGAACGGTGAGCAGAGCATGGGTGGGTGAGGAACGGTGAGCAGAGCATGGGTGGGTGAGGAACGGTGAGCAGAGCATGGGTGGGTGAGGAACGGTGAGCAGAGCATGGGTGGGTGAGGAACGGTGAGCAGAGCATGGGTGGGTGAGGAACGGTGAGCAGAGCATGGGTGGGTGAGGAACGGTGAGCAGAGCATGGGTGGGTGAGGAACGGTGAGCAGAGCATGGGTGGGTGAGGAACGGTGAGCAGAGCATGGGTGGGTGAGGAACGGTGAGCAGAGCATGGGTGGGTGAGGAACGGTGAGCAGAGCATGGGTGGGTGAGGAACGGTGAGCAGAGCATGGGTGGGTGAGGAACGGTGAGCAGAGCATGGGTGGGTGAGGAACGGTGAGCAGAGCATGGGTGGGTGAGGAACGGTGAGCAGAGCATGGGTGGGTGAGGAACGGTGAGCAGAGCATGGGTGGGTGAGGAACGGTGAGCAGAGCATGGGTGGGTGAGGAACGGTGAGCAGAGCATGGGTGGGTGAGGAACGGTGAGCAGAGCATGGGTGGGTGAGGAACGGTGAGCAGAGCATGGGTGGGTGAGGAACGGTGAGCAGAGCATGGGTGGGTGAGGAACGGTGAGCAGAGCATGGGTGGGTGAGGAACGGTGAGCAGAGCATGGGTGGGTGAGGAACGGTGAGCAGAGCATGGGTGGGTGAGGAACGGTGAGCAGAGCATGGGTGGGTGAGGAACGGTGAGCAGAGCATGGGTGGGTGAGGAACGGTGAGCAGAGCATGGGTGGGTGAGGAACGGTGAGCAGAGCATGGGTGGGTGAGGAACGGTGAGCAGAGCATGGGTGGGTGAGGAACGGTGAGCAGAGCATGGGTGGGTGAGGAACGGTGAGCAGAGCATGGGTGGGTGAGGAACGGTGAGCAGAGCATGGGTGGGTGAGGAACGGTGAGCAGAGCATGGGTGGGTGAGGAACGGTGAGCAGAGCATGGGTGGGTGAGGAACGGTGAGCAGAGCATGGGTGGGTGAGGAACGGTGAGCAGAGCATGGGTGGGTGAGGAACGGTGAGCAGAGCATGGGTGGGTGAGGAACGGTGAGCAGAGCATGGGTGGGTGAGGAACGGTGAGCAGAGCATGGGTGGGTGAGGAACGGTGAGCAGAGCATGGGTGGGTGAGGAACGGTGAGCAGAGCATGGGTGGGTGAGGAACGGTGAGCAGAGCATGGGTGGGTGAGGAACGGTGAGCAGAGCATGGGTGGGTGAGGAACGGTGAGCAGAGCATGGGTGGGTGAGGAACGGTGAGCAGAGCATGGGTGGGTGAGGAACGGTGAGCAGAGCATGGGTGGGTGAGGAACGGTGAGCAGAGCATGGGTGGGTGAGGAACGGTGAGCAGAGCATGGGTGGGTGAGGAACGGTGAGCAGAGCATGGGTGGGTGAGGAACGGTGAGCAGAGCATGGGTGGGTGAGGAACGGTGAGCAGAGCATGGGTGGGTGAGGAACGGTGAGCAGAGCATGGGTGGGTGAGGAACGGTGAGCAGAGCATGGGTGGGTGAGGAACGGTGAGCAGAGCATGGGTGGGTGAGGAACGGTGAGCAGAGCATGGGTGGGTGAGGAACGGTGAGCAGAGCATGGGTGGGTGAGGAACGGTGAGCAGAGCATGGGTGAGTGAGGAACGGTGAGCAGAGCATGGGTGGGTGAGGAACGGTGAGCAGAGCATGGGTGGGTGAGGAACGGTGAGCAGAGCATGGGTGGGTGAGGAACGGTGAGCAGAGCATGGGTGGGTGAGGAACGGTGAGCAGAGCATGGGTGGGTGAGGAACGGTGAGCAGAGCATGGGTGGGTGAGGAACGGTGAGCAGAGCATGGGTGGGTGAGGAACGGTGAGCAGAGCATGGGTGGGTGAGGAACGGTGAGCAGAGCATGGGTGGGTGAGGAACGGTGAGCAGAGCATGGGTGGGTGAGGAACGGTGAGCAGAGCATGGGTGGGTGAGGAACGGTGAGCAGAGCATGGGTGGGTGAGGAACGGTGAGCAGAGCATGGGTGGGTGAGGAACGGTGAGCAGAGCATGGGTGGGTGAGGAACGGTGAGCAGAGCATGGGTGGGTGAGGAACGGTGAGCAGAGCATGGGTGGGTGAGGAACGGTGAGCAGAGCATGGGTGGGTGAGGAACGGTGAGCAGAGCATGGGTGGGTGAGGAACGGTGAGCAGAGCATGGGTGGGTGAGGAACGGTGAGCAGAGCATGGGTGGGTGAGGAACGGTGAGCAGAGCATGGGTGGGTGAGGAACGGTGAGCAGAGCATGGGTGGGTGAGGAACGGTGAGCAGAGCATGGGTGGGTGAGGAACGGTGAGCAGAGCATGGGTGGGTGAGGAACGGTGAGCAGAGCATGGGTGGGTGAGGAACGGTGAGCAGAGCATGGGTGGGTGAGGAACGGTGAGCAGAGCATGGGTGGGTGAGGAACGGTGAGCAGAGCATGGGTGGGTGAGGAACGGTGAGCAGAGCATGGGTGGGTGAGGAACGGTGAGCAGAGCATGGGTGGGTGAGGAACGGTGAGCAGAGCATGGGTGGGTGAGGAACGGTGAGCAGAGCATGGGTGGGTGAGGAACGGTGAGCAGAGCATGGGTGGGTGAGGAACGGTGAGCAGAGCATGGGTGGGTGAGGAACGGTGAGCAGAGCATGGGTGGGTGAGGAACGGTGAGCAGAGCATGGGTGGGTGAGGAACGGTGAGCAGAGCATGGGTGGGTGAGGAACGGTGAGCAGAGCATGGGTGGGTGAGGAACGGTGAGCAGAGCATGGGTGGGTGAGGAACGGTGAGCAGAGCATGGGTGGGTGAGGAACGGTGAGCAGAGCATGGGTGGGTGAGGAACGGTGAGCAGAGCATGGGTGGGTGAGGAACGGTGAGCAGAGCATGGGTGGGCGAGGAACGGTGAGCAGAGCATGGGTGGGTGAGGAACGGTGAGCAGAGCATGGGTGGGTGAGGAACGGTGAGCAGAGCATGGGTGGGTGAGGAACGGTGAGCAGAGCATGGGTGGGTGAGGAACGGTGAGCAGAGCATGGGTGGGTGAGGAACGGTGAGCAGAGCATGGGTGGGTGAGGAACGGTGAGCAGAGCATGGGTGGGTGAGGAACGGTGAGCAGAGCATGGGTGGGTGAGGAACGGTGAGCAGAGCATGGGTGGGTGAGGAACGGTGAGCAGAGCATGGGTGGGTGAGGAACGGTGAGCAGAGCATGGGTGGGTGAGGAACGGTGAGCAGAGCATGGGTGGGTGAGGAACGGTGAGCAGAGCATGGGTGGGTGAGGAACGGTGAGCAGAGCATGGGTGGGTGAGGAACGGTGAGCAGAGCATGGGTGGGTGAGGAACGGTGAGCAGAGCATGGGTGGGTGAGGAACGGTGAGCAGAGCATGGGTGGGTGAGGAACGGTGAGCAGAGCATGGGTGGGTGAGGAACGGTGAGCAGAGCATGGGTGGGTGAGGAACGGTGAGCAGAGCATGGGTGGGTGAGGAACGGTGAGCAGAGCATGGGTGGGTGAGGAACGGTGAGCAGAGCATGGGTGGGTGAGGAACGGTGAGCAGAGCATGGGTGGGTGAGGAACGGTGAGCAGAGCATGGGTGGGTGAGGAACGGTGAGCAGAGCATGGGTGGGTGAGGAACGGTGAGCAGAGCATGGGTGGGTGAGGAACGGTGAGCAGAGCATGGGTGGGTGAGGAACGGTGAGCAGAGCATGGGTGGGTGAGGAACGGTGAGCAGAGCATGGGTGGGTGAGGAACGGTGAGCAGAGCATGGGTGGGTGAGGAACGGTGAGCAGAGCATGGGTGGGTGAGGAACGGTGAGCAGAGCATGGGTGGGTGAGGAACGGTGAGCAGAGCATGGGTGGGTGAGGAACGGTGAGCAGAGCATGGGTGGGTGAGGAACGGTGAGCAGAGCATGGGTGGGTGAGGAACGGTGAGCAGAGCATGGGTGGGTGAGGAACGGTGAGCAGAGCATGGGTGGGTGAGGAACGGTGAGCAGAGCATGGGTGGGTGAGGAACGGTGAGCAGAGCATGGGTGGGTGAGGAACGGTGAGCAGAGCATGGGTGGGTGAGGAACGGTGAGCAGAGCATGGGTGGGTGAGGAACGGTGAGCAGAGCATGGGTGGGTGAGGAACGGTGAGCAGAGCATGGGTGGGTGAGGAACGGTGAGCAGAGCATGGGTGGGTGAGGAACGGTGAGCAGAGCATGGGTGGGGATGGGGCATGCGGAGGGAATGGGCGAGGTGGGTGGAAGGAGCAGGGATGGGTGATGGCAGGCGGCAGGGCTGCGGGAGTGTGGGCATTGTTCCCTATTGATGGCGCGTGTGCATTGTTCCCTATTGATGGTGCGTGTGCATTGTTCCCTATTGATGGCGCGTGGGCATTGTTCCCTATTGATGGCGCGTGTGCATTGTTCCCTATTGATGGTGCGTGTGCATTGTTCCCTATTGATGGCGCGTGGGCATTGTTCCCTATTGATGGCGCGTGTGCATTGTTCCCTATTGATGGCGCGTGGGCATCGTTCCCTATTGATGGCGCGTGTGCATTGTTCCCTATTGATGGTGCGTGTGCATTGTTCCCTATTGATGGCGCGTGGGCATTGTTCCCTATTGATGGCGCGTGGGCATTGTTCCCTATTGATGGCGCGTGTGCATGGCAAGCAGGCAGGTAGGCATGCAATGGAAAGGCTGCGGGTGGAGAGACAAAATGGCAATGAACCCAAAAAAATGGACAATGAAAAGTGACAATGGGGAAAGGTAACAGGAAAAATGGAAATGTGAAATGGACTTGCAACTGACAAATTCAAAGAAAATGTGGCAGTGGGAATCAGGCAACTACGACAAACGCCTGTGGGAAGCTTGCATTGCAGAAGTGGACAGAAATATATGGTGTCATGTAATTGACTGGTAGAGATTACAGAGAGATTTTGATTTGATAAATTCTATCGAAGATGACTGAAAGATTGAAAGAAACTGACAATAAGCAGTTAACAAGAACGGAACATACTTTGGAAACATGAGAATGCGAACTTGATTTGAAAAACGATAATGGGATGAATAGATTGGGACCATGAGGATAGGATAATGAGATTTCTAACAGAAGAATGAGAAGTGGTAATGAAAGAGAGAAGACAGTGGAGAAATGGCCATGGTGTATGGGGAAACGAAATGGAATTATGTCAATGAAATGGGAGACATGACATGCACATTTGAGCAAGTAGGCATGTTCCCGCATCTGGCATGAATTGCCATGCCAGAATGCACCGCAGGGGAAAGAATGTGATGGGGAGATTGATGAGGGAAGAAGGGAGGAGAGCAAATTGGCGTTTCCCTGCGATAGCACACATGCAACGGGGAGAGAGAAGGGCGGATCAGATCAGAATAAATGTTTGGGGGAAAGACAGTGGGGAATCTGGCAGTGAGGAATCTGGCAATGAGGAATCTGGCAGTGAGTAAACTGACTGAAGGAGAAACGTCAAAGAAACATTGACAATAGGGGAAATGAAGTGACATCGGGATTTTGACAAATAGTGAAGAAAGGAAAACGCCACTGGCAAAATCAACAGGGGGTAGTGAGAGACGGATTGAATGAGAGTTTCCTAAGGCAGCTCACATGTGATCGACTGATTGCGACTCAAAATCCGCCTCATCACACAGGGGGTGAGGGTGGGATCATAATAAACGGCAGTCGGAACAGGAAATTTGGGGATGGACATCAACTGTGAAGGAGAACATGGCAGAGCGATGGTGGCCGTTGAAAGGTAACTTTGGGGAGCATGAGCATTGGAAAAATGACGATACCATGAAGTCAACTGTTAGCATGATATGCCGCTACCACTATCCCACAAACACCATAGCATGCCATATCTAGCCACTGGGAGCATGAAAGTTGCATGATGAGAGGGGAAGCATGACAACGGGAACATGGCAATATGATGGGAGTGGAAGCAAGCACGACAATGGAAACATGGCAGTTGCAAGATGAGAGTGGAAGCATGGCAGTTGCATGCCATGATGGGAGTGGAACCACAACAATGGGAAAGATGGTAAAGAGGGAGGTGGCTGTGGAAAAGGGGCAATGGGAAAATGACAACGGGAAGGCAATAGGAAACTGACTGGGAAGATGGATCACGATAGGCATTGGGCAGCACTGGAACAGAATAGGGGGCGGGGAGAATGGCGAAAGCAAGATAACAAACAACAACGACCCAACTTCAAACCACGCCACGCTCACCTCACCTCCTCCTGCTCCACTTCTCCATTCCTCCAACACCAGCTAGTACAAGAGAGTGAAACCACATCTGATCTTTGCAATATAAATAGTTACAAGATGCTAAGAACAGAATGACTAAACTAAGAATTCCTAGCTACTGCTAAGACCATTAACTCCATTGCAGCAGATCCATGGCCATGCTTAGCCACCAGCCTCACTACAAAGCACCCTCCAGTCAAGCTGGCCACATGCCTCCACCTCTCCTACCATCTCTCCCAAAACACCCTGCAAGCAGGGTGCCAAAAGGGGTAAGTCCAGCCATGCGCCTGCCACCAGCCCCCACCAGCCATGCGCCTGCCACCAGCCCCCACCAGCCATGCGCCTGCCACCAGCCCCCACCAGCCATGCGCCTGCCACCAGCCCCCACCAGCCATGCGCCTGCCACCAGCCCCCACCAGCCATGCGCCTGCCACCAGCCCCCACCAGCCATGCGCCTGCCACCAGCCCCCACCAGCCATGCGCCTGCCACCAGCCCCCACCAGCCATGCGCCTGCCACCAGCCCCCACCAGCCATGCACCTGCCACCAGCCCCCACCAGCCTCGCCTCCCTCCACGTGCCATGGCAATGCCTCTAGACCTGCTGCCTTCTACTGTTCATAATGCTACTATTTCTGCTGCTTCATCACCGTTCACTGCTTCCCTTGGGTGCTGTACTGTGTGGCTTGGGAATGCCACTGGCTGCTGCTGGGCGTGGCTTGGGAATGCGAGTGGCGGCCACTGCTGCTGCTGGAGCAGCCGGTTTACGAGTGCTGTGAGGCGCAGCCTGCGCTGCCTTAGCCGCTGCAGCCGTGTGCGCTGCCCTGCTCTGCCCAGGCTCACGGATGCCACTCGCACCACCGCCACCACGCCCTGAACCCCACCCCACACCTGCTGCTCGCCCTCCTGCTGCCTCCACCCCTCCCAACGTAGCCTTCCCTGTTGCTGCACGCACCGCCGTATGTGCTGCCCTCCCATTGCCCTGCTCCCTCACCTTCTCTCCTGCTGCTTTTGTTGCCACCGACCCCACTGGGCTGCTCTTAGCACCTTTCCTCCCTGTCAGTACCTGCCTCGCTACGGTCCCACTCAGGGACAACGCTGTGGCCAAACCACTCATGCCACAGAAACATGCTTCAAGGCACTCAGTGATGAGTGGTTTGCCAGTGGCAACACTGGCACCCCTCCTCGCTGGTCTGCCCTCAACCCACGCCCCACTCCCCTTAAAGTCCGTTCCTCTCCCCTCTATGAGCCTTCTTCCTCCACCCAGGCCCACCAGGCCCTTGCCCCTCCCCAGCAGCAGCAGTAGCAGCAGCAGCAGCAGCAGCAGCTTGGGAGTCAGCAGCAGGGGTTACAGCAGTATGGGCAGCAGCTTCTCCTTTCTCAACTCCAGCAGCAGCTCCAGCATCTCCAGTAGCAGCTCGACTTACAGCCGCAGCTGCCCCTCCTCCCTCCTCCTCCCGTTTCCCAGCAGCAGCCCTTTCCTACCTGGACTGCCGGGAGTGCTGCCTCCGCAGCCCATCTCTCGGGTGCATCTCCAGCGCCGTCTGCAGGTGGCAGTGTGACCGCTTTCCCCTCTTCTGGTTTTGTCGGTTTGCTAGGTCAACCTGAATCTGTTGCATCTCCCATGTACCTTTCTTCTGTTAATGAAACTTCGTTTCAGTACTCTGCCTCATCCTCCTCCACCCTTGACTTCGTCCTGGACAGTGGAGCCTCTGACAGTGACCTTCGTGATGCTGGTGCACTGTGCCCTCTCCCCACACCCACCTCCCTCCTCGGTGTTGATAGCAGTTTTTCTATCCCCTGTCACAACACTTCCACCCTTCCCTGTCCTCTCTTTCCCTCAGGTACTGTCACCGGTCTCCACATTCCCTCCCTACGCACTAACCTCCTCTCCCAAAGGTCCCTCCAACAAGCCACTATCACCACTGTCTTCCCAGGTGGTGCTAACTACTGTGCCCTTTACAATACTGCTACAGGTCGCCTTCTCTCTCGTATTCCCTTCTGTCCTCGTTCCCGTCTGTACACCCTTCGGCTTCCCCGCCCTCCCACCTGCCAAGTCGCCTCTCCCTCTCTCCTCCCCCCCCCTCCCCTCCCTCCCACTAACCCACCCCTCCCTCCCCGCCCCCCTGACTCTGACTGTTCCTGTCGCTCCCTCTCCCACCCTACCATCCTCCTCCATCACAGGCTAGGTCACCCTAACTTCGCTACTTTGTGCTCCTCTGTCTCCTCCGATCTCCTCCACGGTCTCCCCTCCTCCCTCCCTCCCCTCCCCAAATCCCCTGCCCCCCCCTGCACTGTCTGCGTTCAGAGCAAGCTCAAGCAGCAGCCGCACCGGAGCTCCCCTCCGCTGCTGCACAGCCACTTGATCTTGTTCACATGGACCTCTGGGGCCCTAATCCCTCTCCCACTCGCCAGGGTCATCGCTACCTTCTCGTGCTCGTTGATGATCACAGTCGGTACTCGTCCGTCTCTCTCCTTCGGACGAAGGCGGACGCCCCGGCTACGATCATCGCATGGCTCGAGCGGGCAAACACCCATTTTGGGCGCCCTGTTCGCCGCCTTCACTCTGATGGTGGTGGTGAGTTCCTTAACAACCAAGTCTCCTCCTATTGTCAGTCTCGTGGCATTCTTCAGACTCCCTCCCTCACTCCCCACAGCAGAACGGTGTGGCTGAGAGTCGTGTTCGAGAGATCACCAAAACAGCCCGGTGTCTTCTTGTCCACGCCTCCTACCCCCCTTCTCTGTGGGGCTACGCCCTCCTTCATGCCGCCCTCCTTACTAACCTTTACCCTCACCCCCTTCTCCCTTCCACCATCCCCACTGAGCTGTGGACAAAGGACAAGTGTGATGTCTCATCTCTTCGTGTCTGGGGCTCAAAGGCATATGTCCTTATTCATCCCTCTGATCGCTCCCGCTCCATGGGAAAGCTTGCCCCTCGCACCTTTCCCTGCATCTTCCTTGGTCATAACCCTACCTCACCTGACTACCTTTTCCTCCATCCCCCCTTGGGTCGTCTAGTCCGCAGTAGGGATGTGGTCTTTGATGAGTCCACTCCCTACTACTCCTCTCCCCCATCCACTGACCCACTCCCCCCTCTCACCCGTCCCCTTGTCTGGTCTGACACCACCCCTCCCCCATTACTCCCTCCTCCCCCCATCCTCCCGCCTCCCCCCCCTCCGTCGTCCCCGTCCCACGGTGCCCTTCCCTCGTCTGGTGATATCTTTGACCCGGAACCTCTGTCCTCTCCGGTCTCCCCCACACATTCCTCTCCCAGTGCCCCTCCCCCCCTCCTCTCCCCTCCCTCGCCACCGAACCGTCCTTCCCCTCCTCCCCGCACCGTACTTACCCGGTACCCCCATACCAGGTCACGTGACGGTATCCTTGGTGCACCGCCCCCTGTTACCCTCTCTTCCTCTTCCCTCCCCCCTCTCTCCCCTCTCCTTCACCACTTCTTCCAGGCTGTCTTGCATCAACCTCCTCATGCAGCAGCCCCCTCTGCCTCCTCTCCCTCACCAGCAGCAGCGCCCGCAACGGCACCAGCAGCTGCACCAGCAGCAGGACCAGCAGCAGGACCAACAGCGGCACCAGCAGCAAGACCAGCAGCGGTACCAGCAGCGGCACCAGCAGCGGCACCAGCAGCGGCACCAGCATCAGCACCAGCAGCGGCACCAGCAGCAGCACCAGCAGCCATCCCCGCCTTCCAAACCTCCCTCTCTGAGGACTCCCATGAGGAGTTCCTTGACCTCCACTCCACCTCTGTAACCCCTCGCTTCTACCCATCACATTCGAACTCTCCGGCACACCCGTCTTCGCCTTCTCCTCTGCTCCCTCCGTTTTCATCCCTACCACGTATGCTGAAGCAATGGCTTGCCCCGATGCCCCTCTCTGGCTCGCCGCCATCATCAAGGATTTGGAGGCCTTTATCGCCAACTCCTCCTTCGTTGATGTGCCTCGCCCTCCCGCCTCTACGAACGTGGTGAAGGGGAAGTGGGTGTTTCGAGTCAAGCAGCTGCCAGGGGAGCCGCCCGTCTACAAGGCTCGTTACTGTGCCAAGGGCTTCACGCAGCGGTATGCTGTTGACTTCTTCGATACCTTCTCCCCTACCACCAAACCTGCTACCGTTCGAGCCGTGCTCGACCTCGCCGCTCGCCGGGTCATGCCAATGGCTTCATCTGATGACACTCGGAATATGACTACAAAATTATGAGAAGGGCAACATGGGAATGAGATTGCAACATGGGAATGAGATTGCAACATGGGAATGAGATTGCAACATGGGATAACGACACTGAGAGCATGACAGTGGCACGATGCCAATGAGAACAATACATTCCAACTTGAACGTGATGCATGGAAATCGAAGAAGAAGAAAGGTTGATGGGGAGAATGACGTGGGAGAATTGCAACTGACTGAGAGAATGGCAACTGACTGAGAGAATGGCAACTGACTGAGAGAATGGCAACTGACTGAGAGAATGGGGACTGGGAATTTGGCATGTCGAATGAGTGGCAAGTTCAGTGGAACCTAAGAGGGGTGTATCCGGGGAGGACTGAATGGCAGTAAGTCACAGGGCAGCCATGGATGCTGACAAGCAATCAGTGGGAAGGGCAGGGGAGAGGGAGAGAGGGAAGGCATACATGTGCCCTGTCCTACGCAATATGAGTTGGGGGGCAGAGGGATAGGCGAGAGCGACATGACCTCCCACTGCCATCACCTCACCTCATCCCAGCCCTGCTGGTCCCCTACCCTCCTGTATGAGCCCTACAGATGAGTGCAGAATGGATGCTTGCATGCATCACCGGCATTTATTTTAGAATGCTGACAGAGGGTGACAGAAATTGGGAAAGTGAGCAACTGCTGCGGAAAGAGGGAAACTGACAAGAAAACCAACAGAGCAAATTGAACTGGGAGTACGATGGTGAGATTTCCACAGTTGCAATGTGAGATGGGGGAATGATGAGATGGAAAAATTACGCATACTCGCAAGTATTTAGTTGCCCCAACACACGAGCAGTGCATGTATAACTGACACCGTGACACGTATAAGGTGTGAACAAGAGTTGAGACAGACTGAGGAACCCAATCGATGGCAGTTGTGGTTGTGGGAATTGTGATGATCATGGTGGTAAACATATTAATGATAGTGCAGTGAAGGCAATAACAGGGGTGGTAATGACGATGGCACTGAGCCAATAAAAGCATCACCCTCAACATCAGTCCACTCCAGCTGTCCCTTCCTAGATCTTCCTTTGCTCTCGCTAATGATTGTTGTCCCTGGCTGGGCACCTCAAGGACTTTATAGGCAAGGAAACTGGTAGTGAGTGACAGGAGCAGCAATACCAAGATGCAACATGCATGTACTGGAGCCTATCACTTCACTTCACATGCCCACATCACATCACATCACATCACATCACATCACATCACATCACATCACATCACATCACATCACATCACGGCACATCCACCTCCTTCACCGCCTTCACCTCCTTCACCTCCTTCACCTCCCGCAATGCCCGCAGCATTGCACAGTCTCTCAAGCCAAGAACGTTGCGGTTCTTCCCTTCCCGCCGTCGCTGTCTGAGATGCCGTCGCTCACACGCCACAAGTCAGGAGAGAGGGGGGAGCGGATGGGGCTGTGCATGAAGTGATCCACGGCTAGTCCAGGCGGGTAAGGTGGGCGAGGGCGACAGGCACATGCTCAAGCTGCTCACACGAGATGAGCTGCAGTTCCTGCAGACTGGATAAGACAGCAATGCCAGGCGGCAGCGAGGCCAGTTTGGGCGCGGAGTCAACCGTCAGGGACGTGAGGTGCTGCAGCGCACTCACACTCGCTGGCAGCTCCCTCAACTCGCCCACTGACCTCAGCACCAGCGTGCGCAGCTGCGGCAGTGCTGTTCCGATATCGGCCGGCTTGACCAGCGTGTTACTCGGGTCCGCGAAGCGAAGCGCCTGGTCCGTGGAGGGTCCAGGCCGGACCAGTTTACAGCCAGCCTCGGACCATGCCTGGAACAAATGACGGACCAGCAATGGACCAGAGGCTTCGATAGAGTACCACTAACGGGATTGAACGTCGAATTTGGTACTTTGTCAACGTATTAAGCTTATATCTTTGTCATAACCTCAAAATAATACAGCACAGCAAGAATGCCTAAAAGCCAAGGCCTAGAAGACCTACACTACAGAATGTTTACTTGCCTATCCAAATATAATCAGACAGAATTGCCTATATAGTCTGTAAGCTAAAATACCAGAGTCAATCCCTTTAGGGAGGGTGAAATGCGATGTTCGGTATTGTCATGCAATTGATTAAAGCTTCAGGTAGAATACATAAATAGCATGAAACATTGATATAATTACCTGACAGGAGTGTAGGACAGTACTAGTAGGAGAGCAGTGTAGCGAGATTACAACAGCGAGCGAAACCAAACCTAGTAAACCGACCAGAGCGGGAACTTTGGAAGGAGTCTAGAATGGCGGCAAGGGTAACGGTACGCATTAGGAGCCAAAGATCTGACTGCTTACTTGTTT